GGTTCGTGCCCGTCTCATTGGTTGACCGGTCTCTTTACCGTATGTTACCGTATTCTCTACCGTATAAAACATAATTTAGGTCAGTGTCAGAACCCAATCCCAGCAAATGTCCACCAGTAAGCGACGGGACTCCCTCTTGTTTGCACGTTAGCTCTCCCCCCCCCCTTTCTCAAGCTCTCATCCCCACTCGCTCTCTCATACCCTCGAGAGCATGGGAAAGTGGCGAGAATCAACGAGGAAGTCCCGCCCCTTTCGAGCAGTGTCAATTCGATGGTGCAACGCGTGTACCCCGCGATTTGCTAGGGGATGATGAATTTGCAAAGTCTGACACCGACCTTAACAGCCGCTTTGGAAGGCCTTCATTGTACTGCCTTTCAGTCACGAATCTCCAACCAAGTCCGAGAAATGATTCCTGGCCAAGTGTGTGGTATGCTGCCGTCGATTATCGACGAAAAGCTGAACGGTCGTCTGTCCGGACTGCCACAAGCGATTGCCGTCTCTCAACTTCTCAGTATGTTCGGCTCAGCTCTAGCGGGCGCTGGATCGGCCTCGCCATCGCCTCAATACGTAAGTTCCAAAACTTCAAGGCCGTTTTCCGAGTTTTCAAGCCCTCTTTTTCAGTGCGAGACTCAATGCGGCCAGTCAGCTCTACGCATACCTTCCACGGCAACCTCTGCTGCTAGCTCAGGTGTTCAAGGAGGAAGCTCTTCTATCGCAGGACCAGGTCAAGCGCCTCAGATTCCTCAAGCCGCTTATAATGATCGACCGCAGGCCCGAGGAATCCAACAAAGGGTCTACAACACCAACCAGGTAATAGTTGAAATACGATGTGTCTTCAAGCGTTACCTGATGACATCATTATTCAGTCAATGATGTTGAGACAAGTTCCGAGAAGGAGCGCAGTTCGCGCAGCTCCAACTGTCTATCGGCCACGCATCATTACATATTTGGAAGGTGATGCTAGCAAGGCGGTAAGTCTCTCTTGGTTGAATTGCATGTGTTCTTTCTTTACTCTTTTTGGCTTATATAAGTGAATGTGTAGAGTTCGTGTTTCGATTTCCGATTTCCGTGAAGACCATGAACAGAATTCAAAATGGCGATCTCAGCTTGCAAATAATAGTTTCTTGACATACCAAGAAAACTCCCACAAAAGTCGAGCATTTTTGTTGGTTTTATTACGTCAACAATTATCACAAGGAGAATTTGGTAATTCGAGAAGCCAGCGGTTGTGAGCGATTGTGTTCATTCGCACCCTCCTTGAAGGATATTGATGGTATATTAGTCTAAGCCAAAGATCACCCATAGGCAGCAGTCTGCTAACGCCTCGCAGCCGCTCGCGTCGGATAGTGGTGGTTTATTGTGAGCGGAGTCTGTTTACTGTGTCCGAGAAACATCCCCACGTGTTCTTCCGTCGAAAAGCAGCATGTTTTTGTTGATGCTGATTTTACAAACCCAACTCACATACTCGCTTAAAATTTTAGATGGGACCAGGGTCAACCGTCGCGTTCTTACTTTTTCAAACATTTTATGACCCCCTCCGTTCATAAGGTTTACGTTCACCTCTCTCCCTCCCAACCCTGACTACCACTCTCACCATCAAGACTGCTTCAATGCTATAATTCCGAAACCAGTCGACACAGCCCGACTCCGCCCAAGTTCCCATCAAAAGCAGCCGTCACGGGGACGGGGGCAGATGGGCAAGTCCTTTAAATTTCCTTGTATTGAGCTGCGTGAAGTTTCCAGTCAGACCCGTTGAAAAACGGCTTCCTTTTCCACAACCACCACAATTCAACTTTCACGAATCCTTTTTCAAAGATCGTTCACCTCGCTTGCCTCCACATTCCGTCCCCTCCCAAAATCGCAATAAGCTCCCTCCCCCCCCCTGTTCGGCTCCCAACTAACGGCATGGGATGATCTTGCGCCATGCGGTGACAACTTGATGAGATGCGCCATGCACTTGGCCATTTGGGAGCTGCTGAGTAGCGCTTGCATGACTTTAAATGTCCTATGCAAACGTTTGCATGGCCGATCTCTAACTGAAAAATAAAACATTTTTCGAATGACCTCGAAAAAATGGAAGTTCTCGTTGAGGGTGCCCGATCTTTGGGCACCTGACAGGAGGCCCGTCGCGCGGCAAGAAGGCAAGTCAGCGGACGAGTCGCAGCGCGTACTGTAGTGATTTCGCGTCAAGTTAAATAGAATGTACCATTGTACGTCCTACATCGCACATCACGCGCTGCGACTCGTCCGCTGACTCTGCCTTCTTGCCGCGCGACGGGCCTCCTGTCGGGTACCCCCGATTTTTCCTGCAGTCCGGGACTCGGTCGATTTTATATTATTACTATTGGCGGTTGCGTTGCGTGCGTGGCACAAGGACGAACATTCTGAAATTGCGGCTTGTCTAAACCACGCCCCTTCTCTAAGAAAAAGCGTCACAGCCGAGCCCGATCAGTGGTCGATTACCTGTCGCGTAATTGCGCTGCAAGGCCTTTAACCTCTGCGCTATCTCTTATAATGAAGAATATGGTTCTTAGAAATAGTCATGGTGAAGTCAAACTGTAATTCCTCGTATTCAGATACATCACACGGTGGTTCGAAACAAGCGTCAAGCTCAAGTCTTCCAATTCACGCGGCTTTCTGCCGTTCCGAACGGAGTTGCCCAGATCGTGCGGCCAAGTCGTGGAATCACCGGCCCTGGTGGTTTCCAAACTGGAGGCGGACAATTCGCGGGACCAGGCGCAGTGGGCGGATTCCGTCCTGGAGGACCAGCGGGACCACGTCTTCCTCCGCCTCCTCCTGTACGTATTTCCTCATCAATTTTCGCGCGGAGTATTAATAGCGAAGAAGTTTTAATCATTTCAGGTTCCTGGTGCTCCAGCACCAGCGTTGGTGCCACCGAGCCCTGATTTGTGCGCTAAATGTCCTCCTGCTGCTCCAGCCGACGATCCGATGAGCTTCATTAGACAACTGGCTGCCGGTCTCGATATGGTTAGTCACTTACAGACCAGTTCCATTACCGTACTAACAGTACTTGATAAAATAATACAAAAGGAGAAGGTCAGCTGGCCCAATGAAGTGCAAGTATTTGTGCGAAGCAGGCAAATGGATCTGAAGTTGCCGCGGGCGGTCGCGGCGCAACATGCTTGTTCATAGCCGCACCGCGATAGCTCGCAGCAGCCCTCGTAAGACACAAGTTGAGATGAACAAGCGGTCATATGGTTGTAAATTATGAAAAACTTTTTTCAGCGAAAACTCAGTGACCTGTACTTGAGTATTCAACTGGTTGGTACGTCAGCAACTTCAAATGATTTCACCGTCGATCTTACCGGAGAATTCAGCCCGAACGCACAAGGAGGTAAGACATTCGGCCGTCCTATAAGCCTCCGAACACCATTTCAGCTTAAAAGCTATTCTTCAGTTATTAGAATACAGCGTGAACCCCATAATTTCGTGCAATAGCACGATTTTTCATATTGGTTGACCCATAATTTCTGGCCGAATTTCAACACTTTGATTTATTCAAGTTTTATCTTTCCTAAAGAACAATTGATCAAAAACATAACCACCATCATCACTGATATGCACCCATTTGCTAGGGAACGAATGGATGCATTCCTCCCAGAACGAGAGAAGCTGTGAGATGAAAAGCTCGAAGAGGTCGTTTTTGGGGTGGTTGTATTTACTGACTTTTTCCTCTCCTAGCTGCTGCTTCAGGGAGCTGAGGAGGTGATAGTACGATGGA